AAGGTCGCAAGAGGGGTTGTGGAGAGGGCGTTCGGGAGGTTGAAGGGGATGTGGAGGCTCTTCCTGCGGACACACAAGAAAAACCTGGAAACACTTCCGACGAAACCTTGGAATCGCGTCCCCGAGGAGTGTCTAACGACGCCCTTAATGTTATCGACATCTTTTCTTCGACAGTCTGTGTGGCGAAGGAAAAATGTCGAAAACTTCAGTTTCAAAGTTTCGACATTGGTGTGGCCCTAAGAAAACATGACATCTCCACACATCCCATCATTGTATAGGGATGCTCGACCAGATTTCCAGCTCACACACATCACATCAGTGCTAGGGCTTCGGTTCTTGTTTTGATCGATAGGATTGGGCTCGATGCCTTTGCTCGTTATGGAGATACGGTAGATTAGGTGGATAGGGTTCTCCCTTCAGGAACACAGATCACATCAGGGTTAAGGTTGCGATTCTTGGTTTGATCTATAGGATTGGGCTCGATCCCTTCACTCGCTATGGAGACACGGTAGATTAGATGGATAGGGTTTTCACAGAATCTCCCTTCATGTGACATACATATATTGATTGATGAACATATACAGACAGTAGTGGATGCACAGTAGGAGATAGCCAGTATTAGCCACACCACCGTATAGGGACGCTGGACCCGATTTCCAGCTGATACACATCACATCATTGTACAGGGACGCTGGACCCAATTTCCAGCAGGTGCAGCTCCCCACCAATAGATGGAGCCTTCGATGCTGGGGGCCTACTTATTGGGGATGCTCTTATCACCTCGTATACGAAGTTACCAAAAAAAAGGAAAAAGAAGTATGGGCCAGGGGGCAGAAACCTTTTTTGTTTTTTTTAAGAAGTAAGATTGAATAAAAATAAAAAAGAGCACGCTGTGATGGCTCTCTTTTTGTTAGAAAACAAACCATCGACCGACGAACAGAAAGGAGAGCCCTGATGCCTGACGACTCCGACCAAACCTATGACTGACTCTTTTGTTTTAAACTGCATCTGGAAGGGACCCACTTTTTGAGGTGATATGAGCGTCATGAGGGCCCCATCTCATCCATGATTTCTTCTTCTTCTTCAACACATTGACAGCTGCACCAGAGACTGGGAATGCAGCTGCTATTTCTGACATTGGGAGGCTGGTATGTGGAGCTTTTTTCTTTTCTCGTCACTGCAGATTCAAACAAAAGGGAAAAAAACCGGTGACTCTTTTGGGCAGCCTTTAAGCGGCCTGCAACGCCGGCGTCACTGTGAAGTTTCAGGTCTGACCAATTTGCGTTTTTTGTCTTTTGTGGGAAAAGTGCATCTGTACCCCACTTAAAGATGGGAATATGCGCTATACCCAGTCGAGCGCCCAACTTGCATCTATACCCGGAAAATTGTCCTGTGTGCCCACTTATATGCGTACCCAGTCCCACAGGCTTCTGGTTGGGCAGCACAAAATTATGCTTATGCCCAGCAACAGGAAAGACAAAATTGGGTGTGCACATAATTTGCTCGGGCATGTGCATGATTAGCATTCCGGTAGTTAGGTATAACTTCAATTTGGTGGTACCAACCTTGGCCCTCCTCCATCCTGGGTATACAAATAATTTGCACAGACAATTTGCCGGGTACCGATGCAAGTTGGACACCGGGGCTGGGTATAGAAGGTATTCCCATTTTGAAATGGGGCACAGAAGCAAGTTTCCCTCCATTTTTTTTGGGCTGGAAAAGGGGCTGAGCACTGTTTTCTGTGCTGGGAAACGGGCCCAGCAATTTGCTTTCTGAGCTTCCATCCTTTCTTTTTTTTTTGTTTTGGGTGCTCCAATCTATTCGTGTGGAGCAGCACGTGCTAGGAACTGGGCCCAGTGTCCCATATGAAAAATAAACAGATAAAATTGAGCCACCCAGCCCGTTACCCGGCTTTGGCTAGGAATAACAGGAATGTTCATGAGAAAACCACTGAGTTATACAAAAAAGACAGAAAACATGCTGAAATACCAAAATTAATAAATTATACCCCCGTGTTACCCAGCAGACCAAGACCGCATGTGCCAAAACTGTTGAGATCTGAATACCAAAACTATATAAGGCCTTATACCCCCAATCATGCCGACATGCTAGGTCACAGAACAGCACGACCTGCCCCAGCTCCAGCCAGGGGCGTCTTGGCAACGGCCCACAGTTAGCCACGTTATGCCTCCGCAAACCCATTCCCCAGATCTCTCTACTATATTTCATAATGAATATCTGAGAAGCAGATGGACGGATATCACGCGTCCTACTAGTGAGGGGGCTGGCTGGTAGAATGGGAATAGGGTACAGCAGCAGCGGAGATGGTGGCTTTGCTGCAGCAAGTCTTGTCGGAGT